GTGTCCTTACATAGTTGAAGCTTTAGAACTCTGGTTTCTTTGTTTTTTTAATCTTTGGGGACAGGGTTTCTCTGTTTAATAGCTCTGGCTGGCCTCGAACAATCTCTGTAAACCAAACGGGCCTCGAACTCAGAGAGCTGCCTGTCTCTGCCTCCCAAATATTAGGATTAAAGGTGTAAAGGTGTGTGCCACCACTACTCAGCTTCTCTGGTGCTCTCTCTGTCTCTCTCTCTGTCTCTCTCTCTCTCTCTCTCTCTCTCTGTGTGTGTGTGTGTGTGTGTTTTCGAGACAGGGTTTCTCTGTGTAACAACTGGCCATCCTGGAACTGTTTTCTTTGTAGACCATCAGGCTGGCCTCAAACTCACAGAGATCCACCTGCCTCTGCCTCCCACGTGCTGGAATTAAAGGCATGTGCCACCACCGCCCGGCTCTCTGGTCTCCTCTTATTTGGCCACCAAATCCTATAACCATTTCCTTGCCACACTGAAGATTAGATTTCAATTTAGTAATGGGGTGACACAATGTTGAGACTATAAAAATCAAGGTTTTTTAAAGCATATACGTCAAAACCCTTCCTCTACCCATTATCCAGTTAGAAAACTACCTCCATATCTTTATATGTCACTTACAGTGCCTCCATCCTACTCAGTATCAAGTCTGTACTAACAATATGCCATAGATAAAGAGGCTGTGGGATGGGGGTATATGTAGATAGTCATTCATATAACTGATACTGACCTTCAACTCCTGATCTCTTGCCTCCATTTCTTTGTGTTTTTGTTTTTGGAGACAGGGTTTCTCTGTGTAGCTTTGGAGCCTGTCCTGGCACTTGCTGTGTAGACCAGGCTGGCTTCGAATTCATAGACATCTGCCTGCCTCTGCCTCCTGAGTTTTGGGATTAAAGGTGTGTGCCACCACTGCCCGGCTGTCTCCATATCTTTTTTCTTTTGAGACAAGGTTTCTCTGTAGCTTTGGAGCCTGTCCTAGAACTAGCTCTTGTAGACCAGGCTGGCCTCGAACTCACAGAGATCCACCTGCCTCTGCCTCCCAAGTGCTAGGATTAAAGGCATGTGCCACCACCGCCTGGCATGTCTCCATTTCTTAAGTACTAGGGTTACAGGTGTTGTTCCTGGCTTCCATGTGGTTAAGACAACAGGAATTTCCTGGATCTGGTGGAGTAAGCTACTTGATAAGCTAAGGCAAGAGAATCTCAAGTTTAAGGCCAGCCTTGGCAACTTGGTGAGACCCTGTCTCAAAAAGTAAAAAGAGGGCCAGGCATGTCCTACACTCAAGAGGCAGAGGTAAGCAAATCTTTGGGTTTTGAGGCCAGCCTGATCTGCATAGCAAGTTCCAGAACAGCTGGAACTCACAGAGATCCACCTGCCTCTGCCTCTCAAGTGCTGGGATTAAAGGTGTGCACCACCACCGCCTGGTTTTCAACATGAATTTTTTTGGACCTGCATTACCCTGATTACTCATCCTATATATCCCCAGCACTACTACATAGAACCAAAGAACCTCTCAATACTCACTGTAAAATTCCCCACCACAAGGTCTAAATATCCTCAATCTCTAGCCCTACAGAATCCCTCACTCATAGACCTACCTCATCACGGCCCCATGGGTCCTATCACTAATTATATATCCTATTCACCTCACAGACCTTTCCCTGAATCATTTAGCTTCCTGGCCCCTAATCATTCGTTCCACAGACTCACCCATCATGAACCCTACAAAACTCTCAGTCCATAGGCCCTTCCATTCACCCCAAATACCCTGTCATAATTCACTTTTCCACTCACCCCGGATACCCTGTCATAATTCACTTTTCCATTCACCCCAGATACCCTGTCATGGTTCACTTTTCCATTCACCCCACAGATACCCTGTCATAGTTCACTTTTCCATTCACCCCAGATACCCTGTCATGGTTCACTTTTCCATTCACCCCACAGATACCCTGTCATAGTTCACTTTTCCATTCATCCCAGATACCCTGTCATAGTTCACTCAGCTGCACCATTATTCCCCAAGCCCTGCTCTCTCAACAGAATACCCCACCACTCACCATACAGGCCAGCACAACAGTGTCTGCAGATCCCTATTACTCTACACAGCCCCTGGCACCTGATGCCACCTCATCAGTCACCTACAGATTCCTAACCACTCACCCTAAAAACCAACTACAGTTCTCTACAGACTCATGCATTATTTGCCCCATAGGCAACACTAACCCTGTCCCTTACATTTCAATGCCTGTTATTCGGCATTACCCATCACTACCCCACAAGTCCTCATTACTCAGCTTCCCGTCTCTGGATCACATCTAACACTTGACCCCCACAGACGCTTGTTATGCCCTGTCTGTGGAAAGTGGGACTTCAGTTCAAGTCCTGGCTTTACTCAGGCTTTCACTGTAAATTTGGAGAAATGGGGCTGGGGAGATGGCTCAGAGGTTAAGAGCACTGACTGTTCTTCCAGAGGTCCTGAGTTCAATTCCCAGCAACCACGTGGTGGCTCATAACCATCTGTAAAAAGATCTGGCGCCCTCTTCTGGCCTGCAGGCATACTTGCAGGCAGAATACTATATGTAATAAATCTTTTTAAAAATTTTAGAGAAATGTCTTTCTAAATAAGTACATTTCAAGAGGCAGCAGGCATGGCAGCAACAAGAATTCCACCAGCAGTCAAAAAAATGCCTGGCCAGCCAAATGTTAAGACCAGAGTCCTGCATAATTTCACCTCAATGTTTTCATTTCATACGCTGTCACTTAATGTCTTGCACTATTTGAAGACATGCTCTGTCTCACACATTAGACACAGCCTCAATTTCTCACCTCTGTACTACCTACTGTTGGTGTTACTTTGCCTTTTAACCTTGAACTTGTTTCTTCACAGCCTTCAATACTAATACTCACTTCTCAGTGGTGAGTGATATGTAAAATACTACTGTTAATAGCATCTACATCATTGAGTTTTGAATACAGTTAAATGGATTGGTGTAGGAAGTCTATCTAGCATGTATATTATTATTTGTTGACTAGAAGAATGAATAAACAAATGAAAAGGAAAGTTCTCCCCATAATAATAGCAAGGGCCTACTTTTTTATCTCCTTGTTTCCAGTATCTTTCTGTCTAAGCCCTCTGCACACCCAAGAAGAGACATCTTACCCTGTCAAAAAGGTGCCCTAATGCCTTCAATGCTAATGGGTTAGTTGATCATTCCACTCTAACTGAAATGACAAGGAGACTCGAATTCTTTCCCAGCAGAAAAATCCAGTAGTGAGCCAGGCGTGGTCATGTGATTGAGTGATAGCTAGCATGCACAAAGCCCGAGTCTGATCTCCAGCAACCCATGAAGCCAGGCATGGTGGCACAACCAGTAAAAACACCATTTCAGAAGCTCAAGGTTTTCTCCAGATATATAGCAAGTTCAAGGGCAGCCTGGGCTACGTGAGTCTATCTCAAAAAAAAAAAAAATTAAGGCCCCATGAGATGGCTCCATGCATAAAAGTGCTTGCTGTCAAGACTGATGACCTGAGTTTGACCCACAGTCTCAATATGGTGGAGGGAGAGAACTGACTCCTGCAAGTTTACCTCTGAGTAGCACATGCGCACACATATACAATAAAATGTAATAACACACAATAAAATGTAATTTTTTTAACTTTTCACCTTTAATTTCAGCACTCAGGAGGTACAGACAGGTAGATCTCTATGAGTTCCAGGTCAGTTTGGTCTATATGGAGAGTTTCAGGACTATACCAGGGCTATATAGTGAAAACCTACTTTTTTTTTCTCAGAGGCTAAATGCCAGGCATTGGTGGCACATGCCTTTAATCCCTGCACTTGGGAGGCAAGGGCTCTGAGTTCAAGTCTGGTCTACAAAATAAGTTCCAGGACAGCCATGACTATTAAGAGAAACTCTGGAAAAAACAAGGGGGAAAAAGTGACTAAGATGTGTTCAAGTAGCAGGGCGGTGGTGGCACTTGCCTTAAATCCCAGCACTCAGAAGGCAGAGACAGGCAGATCTCTATGAGTTCGAGGCCAGCCTGGTCTACACGAGCTAGCTCTAGGGCAGGCTCCAAAGCTACAGAGAAACCCTGTCTCATAAAACAAAACAAAAAAAGATGTGTCCAAGCATCTAACCCGTATTTAATAGACACATATTTTTTACTGTGATTGTGGTGCTGTGGGTCTCCTGTATGCTAGACTATATGATCTACCAATGAGGTACACCCCGGACAGACAGAGCTTATAACAGGCCTGACCTCAACAAGTTGTAAGGATTAAATAAAACAAAGATAGTGTGGAGCCAGCAGTTTCGAGATTATGTCTGAAGAATCAAAACAGCCTGGGCTACATGAATATGTCTCAAAAATGAAATTAAACCTGGAAAAAAAATCTGGAGAAAAGTAGGACCTCCAGAAAGCATCATATGTTTGCATTGGGAAAATTACTTAATGAAATATAGCAAGAGTTCAGAATGTGTAAAACTCTTTATGCACAATTCCTTGAATGTTTGCTTTGTTTTGATTTTCGAGACAGGGTTTCTCTGTGTAACCCTGGCTGTCCTGGAACTCTCTCTGTAGACCAAGCTAACCTCGAACTCAGATTCGCCTGCCTCTGCCTCCGGAGTGCTAGGATTAAAGTTATGCCAGTTCCTTGAATTTAAGTGAAAATTATTTATTAAGAGACTCTGGAAGATGGGAACGGGAAGGTGGCTCATACCAGTAAGCCCCTGGAAGTCTGAAGTTAAAAGAAAACAAAATTAAAAAACCCTGAAGTTCGAATTAACCCGGGAAAAATGAACAAGATTCAGTAAAAACAAACAAAAGAACTAAATACAAAAATCTTTGAACATTCCCCACCCCCACCCTTTGCAAGGGATTCATTTAAAGGGAAGTTTTTGAAACCGATGACATCATCTGTTACCCTAGGCACGTGGCAACTCCAAGCGGGTCCTGGAGCGTTGACGTCACCACGCTGTGGCTTCCTCCCCGCCCTCTTTTCTTTCTTGAACCCGTCGCCGGTTCGTGAATCCGGAAGTAGACTGCCAAAACAACAGCGCCACGGGACCAGGACAGACAGGACCTAAGCAGGCACTTGCTCACAGGCAGAAAAACGCTAAATTCACGACTTGGGGGAGGGGGGCGGGGTTCCTGGCAGGAGCCCTCTAGGCGCATGCTCAGAGGCGACCTCCAGGCCAGGAGGAGGGGCAGGGTCGTTCAGAACCCTGTGCGCCTGCGCTCTGGTGCAAGGTGGGGCCCCGGGCGCCCGCACTGTAGGGTGTTCGTTAGGGTAGGGGGCAACTGTCAACTGTCACCGGGACAGAGACGACAGTTACCGGCGGGATGGCAACACCTTCCGCAGCCTCGGACTTGGCTTGCTCTGCAGCGCCCTCGCCCGTCGGGGGTGCCCAGGCGGCAGCGGCGGCAGAGGAGGAGGAGCGAGAGGTGGTACGGGTCCGAGTCAAGGTGAGGCTGGCGGCTGGTCGGCCAGCCTGCCTGGGCACCCAATAGGCGAAAAGATGGTGGCTGCCATAGGATAGAGGGCAGGACCTGAATACTGGGAGACGGGAGCGAGGTTTGAGAGCAGAATGATGGGAGAATGAAGACATGGGTCTTAGGGACATATCCTTGGGTGTGTAACTAGAAATAGAGGGGAAAGGGCTGCTGGAGTGGAGGGGTGGAGCCTACGGGTAGAGAGGTTGGTTGGAGGGTTAGAGGAGGGGCCTCCGGAGTCCAGAGGAATGACGGAGGTGCTGTTGCTGTCAGAAGAGGGAGTCCTAAAGTCAGTCAACGTTTCAGAGAGTGCACTTTCGTGCATGTCCCCACCCCTGAGCCCACGTGCTTGTGTGTGTGGGGGGGGGGTGGGGGACAAAAACAGTTAAATAATATGTTTTGGACACTGGTGAGTATCTTGAGAAAATAATAGGAAAAGTTAGATTATAAACGGAGTTCTTTACACAAAGTCGTGTAGGAAAATTCCCCAAAAGGGATTGAAGTCACAGAGACCTGAATAAAAGAGTCACCTATGTGCATTTAAGGTGGGAGAAGAGTTTTAGGTAGAAGGAACAACAAGAGAAAAGGCTAGGAGGTGGAGAGTAGTTTGGTCTGTTCCTGTGGGTTCCCGTATTGTTGGAGAAGGAGGACTGAGGGCAAAAGTGATAGGACGATCAGGAGAGAAAAAAGCAGGTGGACACCCTGGGATGCATACTCTGAGGAAGGAACTTGTTGCAATAATTCAAGCAAGCTCACACTGGAGTGGTGGCACTGGCAGTGATGAAAAGGTCAACAGATCACTTCCACGTAATAGGCAAAGATTTAGTGAGTGAGCCAGATGAAGAAGTGGGAAGGATGTTCAGAGCAAGGGAGATGAGCACACACAAAGGGCTGGAGGAAGATGTAGTCAAGGTAACTCCCAACAGTTTGCTACTACTAGAGCATAAAGTTCAACATAAATCTGAGTGGAGAGAGGACTACGTTGGGACCCCAGGTTTGCTGTTGAAACAGCAAACAGGGTTTCTCTGTATATCCCTGGCTGTCCTGAAACTCACTTTGTAGACCAGTCTGGCCTTGAACTCACAGAGATCCTCCTGCCTCTGCCTCCCTGGGTGCTTGGATTAAAGGTGTGTGCCACCACTGCCTGGAAGCTGTTGAAAACATTTAATCATGGACGTGTTAGAGGTAGATTTGCTAGATTGATTGCAGTATAGGAGACTGATTTTGTCGTGGTGAGACTGGACATGGTGATTCTGGCAACCATAGTTAAGGGACTCTTGAAGGGTTGGACACCTGAACCATTGCAGTAGATTTGTTCCTGCTTGTCTGTTCCTGTCTTTTGGGGGGTTGGGGAATTTTGAGACAGGCTTTCTCTGTAGCTTTGGAGCCTGTCCTGGAACTAGCTCTGTAGACCAGGCTGGCCTCGAACTCACAGAGATTCACCTGTCTCTGCCTCCTGAGTGCTGGGATTAAAGGTATGTGCCACCACTGCCTGACTGACTCTAAAATTAAAATTCTAAGGACACATCGTTCTTTCTTTGCCCAGAAACTGACTGTGCCTTCCCCTTAGAACAAAAAACAAGAGTCTCCACTATGGCCAAGAGCATCCCATCTAAATTTGGTCCCTGCTTTCTGCCGCTCTGTACCTCACCCACTCTTCCGAACGGTGCTGTGGCCCCTCATGGCCTCCCCCTTGTCTTCTTTCCCCAGAAATGTGAGAGCTTCTTGTCACCCGAGTTCCGCTCTTTTGCTGTAGATCCTCAGATCACCTCACTGGACGTGCTGCAGCACATCCTCATCCGAGCCTTTGACTTGAACGGGTGAGTGGGAGAATGAAGCAGGCTGCTCATCTCAACAGCAACTGTCTGGCTTTTGTGGGTTTGGGTTTTTTCAAATAATTCCACGATGAGTATATGTATCTTGCTTGGAGTTTTGGCGAAATGTCATAAGATAAACTAGCGGAAGTATTTGGGTTACAGGGCGCGTGTTTTTAAAACTTTCACGAAATGTTTCCAAAATGGTTCTCCAGACAACGTTTTACCAGTTCAGCCTCAGCAATAGCATAGAAAATGTTTTTGCTGAATGTGGTGGTCCACACCTTTAGTCCTAGCACTCTGGAGAGGAAGACAGGCAGATCTCTGACAATTCAAGGCCAGCCTGTTGTACCTGGTGAGTTCAACCATGGTGATACATACCTGTGATCACAGTACTCTGGAGGCTGAGACAAGAGAATCAAGGCCAGCTTAGGCTGCATAATGAAACTGTCTCAAAAGGAAGAAAGAAAATAATAAAGTTGTTTTCTTCATACCCTCCCAAACAGTGGTTATTTTAAGACATTATAAAATTAGTCAGTCTGGTAGCTGAGAGTTGCTATCTCATAGGTGCAGACGTTATGTTTATTTTGTTGTGGTAGCTTATTCTGGAGGAATATATGATTGTGCTAACAATTTTTCAAATTTATTTAACTTATTTATTTTATGTGCATTGGTGTGAGGGTGTCGGATCCCCTGGATCTGGAGTTACAGACAGTTGTGAACTGCCATGTGGGTGCTGGGAATTGAACCTGGGTCCTCTGGAAGAGCAGCCAGTGCTCTTTACCACTGAGCCATCTCTCCAGCCCCTGTGGTAACAAATTTAAATAGTATGAAATTCAGCTGGGCATTGTAGCCCATGCCTTTAATCCCAGCACTAGGAAGCAGAGGCAGGCAGATCTCTGTGAATTTGAGGCCAGACTAGTCTACAAATCAAGTTCCAGTACAGCCAGGGCCATTACACAGAGAAACCGTGTCTCAAAACATCAAAAAAGAAAAAAAAGTATGAAGTTGATGGATATTTAGGGTGATTCTGGGTTTACAGTGATCATCACATAAAATACTTCTTTATATTTGCACAGGTGTATCTGAAGAATAAATTCTTAGTTTTATTGGACATTTGTGCATTAACGTTCTGTTGTGAAAAATAATAAACATACAGACTGCTTTTTTTTTTGATGTAGTAAGAAGGCTGCTTTCTTCCCACTTCTAACCCCCAGCTGCACTGTTAGCATCCCCAGAGGGGACCAGCATCTTACCAGTGTTCACTGTGCCCTCCAGATATAAGAAGGTGCGGATCTGTTTCTGTGTTCAAGTAACAAAGTGGGTAGAAATGGCCTAACAACCTCAGGCTGCCTGTAATCCTTGGCATAGTTCCCAGCAAATAGAAGGAAGCTGTTTTCGGTACCTTTCACACTACCTTCCTTGTTTTGTAAACTGTTCCTGAAGTTGCTGGGGAACTGGGGATCCCAAGAGCTCCTTCATATCCTTTGTCCAGGAAGAAGAACTTTGGCATCAGCTACCTGGCGCGTGACCGGCTAGGACAGGAAGCTTTCCTCTCTCTCCTTTCTGATTGGGACCTCAGCACAGCTTTCGCCACTGCCTCCAAACCTTACCTGCAGTTGCGCGTAGACATTCGGCCCTCCGAGGACAGTGAGTACCCAGTGCCGGAGGACTACTGCCTTGAGATCCAGCTTTTCCTGTAGATAATAATCCTACTCCTTGTAGTATACTCCTAGCAGGCCACAGGGACTCATTTTTTCTAAATTATGTCTGAAGACCTGGGTTCAATCATCACTAACTCCCCAAAAAGTTTGTTATAATGATGGTAGTTAGATATTTTAAAACTCAAGTTCAAGGTTAGCCTTAGCTACAAAAGCAACCCTATCTTAAAACAAAACTACTACAAAATAATTCAAGTTTTGGGTTTTGAATTTTCAAATTAGGAATATTCCGCCTATATTATCATATTGGCAATTAATTTGAAAACATGGCGGCATAGTAATGTTTTCAGGGCTGTTGAAGAAAAATATTCATGCTCTTTGGGGAAAACCCATTTAAGTAGGAAGTAGTAAAGTGCATGGTGTCTCCATATAATTTTACAAAAATGTGTTTATATGTAAAAGAAATGAAATAAAGCAAATGTGATAAAAAAAAGTTAATGGGTTTTGGATGAGGGCTGCAGGTACAGAGTGCTGTGCAGTCTTGTCTTTTTTGCAGTGCTAGACATGAAAGGCAGGCCTTGCTCACTCACGTTAGGCAAACTCTGTGCCATGGATACCAATGAAGCTATACTTCAGCTCCAGTGCATTCTGGTAGTCCTTTGGTGCTAGTAGTGGGGCTTTTTGTCTATTTGTTTTGTTTACATATAGGATGTTTTGCCTGCATGTATGTCTGTGCACTACATGCATGATTGGTACCCGAGAAGGCCACAAGAGGGCATAGGATCCCCTGAACTGGAATTACAGATGGTTGTGAGCCACTTTCTGCATGCTGGAAATAAAACCCTGGTCCTCTAGAAAAGCAGCCAGTTACTTTCTGAGCCATCTCTACAGCACCACTCAGTGTATTCTGTTTTTAACATTATTATGGGTTTGAATTTGGCTTTGGTTATGGCATATTTATTTATTATGTATACAAAATTCCTTCCATGTATGCTTGGATGCCAGAAGAGGGCACCAGATCTCATTACAGATGGTTGTGAGCCACCATGTAGTTGCTGGGAATTGAACTCAGGACCTCTGGAAGAACAGTCAGTGCTCTTAACCTCTGAGCCATCTCTCCAGCCCAGTTTTGGCATTTTTTGAAACAATTATGGAATATAGCCTGGAACTTGCCATGTAAACGTGGCTGGCATCAAACTTACAGCGATCCTCCCATCTCTGCTTTTCCAAAGGACCCACCATGCTTTGCCATGTTGTTAGTTTGTTTTTCTTTTCTTTTCTTTTCTTTCTTTCTTTTTTTTTTTTTTTTTGGTTTTTCAAGACAGGGTTTCTCTGTAGCTTTGGAGCCTGTCCTGGAACTAGCTTTTGTAGACCAGGCTGGCCTTGAACTCACAGAGATCCACCTGCCTCTGCCTCCTGAGTGCTGGGATTAAAGGTGTGCGCTGCCACCGCACGGCTGTTAGTTTCTTTTGTTACTAAGAATTGAATGCCAGGCCATATGTTTGCTAGGCAGGTGTTATGCCACCAAATTGCACGTTACCTTTTTTATTTTAAGATAGGTTTCATTAAGTTTCCTAGGCTGACCTAAAACTTCCCAGTTCTTCCACTTCAGCCTTATGAATAACTGGGAATACAAGTGTGTGCCACCACACCCAGCAACATTCAACACTCAGCAAGTTTTTAAATCACATTTTGGTGTGTGTGAGTATGCATGTACACACTTGCACATATGTGCCATGACATGTGGAGGTCAGAGAAAACTTGTGGTAGTCAGTTCTCTCCTGTCATGTGAATCCTGGGGCTCACACTCAGGTCATCAGGCTTGGCAGCAAGAGTCTTTGCCCACTGCACCATCTTGTCAACTCAGCAAGTTTTTTGTTTTGTCATAAAAATGTTATGAAGTCATACAGTTTGCAGCCTTAGAGAATGTTTGTACCCATTTGTGATGACTGAGGCATTTTATTCGCATCATAGTAATCATAAATAGCCAAATGGGCCATTTAATGAATATACTTAATTGTCAAGATAATCTTAGCTAGGTAGTGGTGGCGCATGCCTTTAATTCCAGCACTTGGGAAACAGAGACGGCAGATGTCTGTGAGTTCAAGGCCAGCCTGGTCTCTTACAAAGAGGAATTATTATTTTTCCATAAAATAGATGAAGAAACAGGCCTAGGAGGGTAAAAGATTTGGGCATGTCACATAGATAGTGGAAGGCCAAGATTTGAACTTGGGCAGTTGATGATCTGGCTCCAGAGATTTTTTTTCCCCAAACAACTTGACTCTGATATTTTGGACTTGTTTAGACTGGCAAGGGCCAGGCCTGGTGGGACATAATTTTAACTGCAGAACTCAAGAGGCAAAGGCAGGCAGATCTCTATTAGTCTGAGGCTAGCGTAATCTACATAGAGCATAGAGAATTCCAGGATAGCCAAGGTTACATAGAAAGACCCTGGAGAGAGAGAGAGAGAGAGAGAGAGAGAGAGAGAGAGAGAGAGAGAGAGAG